CGAGATAACAGAAAACATTTTCCTGGGTTGAGATTTTCATCAGAGGTATTCTTCTCACAGTATACCAGGCGTCCATGATACCTGCTACGGTTCTCAAAAATAGAACTGGAGTTTGTACTCTTTTTTATTTGACCTTGTATTGAAATGAGAGTATTATGCAAACTTTTTTATTAACATAAACTGTTAGACCTGCTGCATTTCTTAAATGGACTTGTCCAGTTTTAATTTCTTGTGTACTTTTTCGGCTTTTAAGTTCGTCAGTAACAAAGAGGGGCTGGTTCGATAGCACTAATGTATAGAAGCTGAAAAATGACAATGGATTATAGATATGTTTAAAAAATAAATGTGAAAATGGAAATAAAGAAGATACAAAGTACAGTAGATTTAAAACAAAAGCAAAATTTTGATTAAGATTTTCATTTTTACAAACCAAGTTACTCCACCAAAGCTGTGCTATATTCTTTTGTCTGAAACTTAATCTAAGAAATGACCACTATTAAGTATTACTTTATGTGTTTTCAATAACTGTTTAAAACTATGTTCAAAATACACAAATATGATTAATTAATTTACACCACGTACTTCAGTAGTGAAGAATAACCGAATTGCTTTGAGGTGCGTGAGGTAGGTGGATACAAGTTATCTTTATTAATTCCTTCCGCCTATTATTTTGTCAAATTCATAAAAAAGCAAAGGACCTCCCTTTTAAAATAAATACTACATGATCCTTTTATCCATAATATATCATCATCCGTTGAATAGTTTTTATAGCAAACTAATCTATCATATAAATGATTCTCTATCAATTATGTTCAATTTTACAACTTAATTCAACTTTCAATATGAATTATTGATTTTTCCTGATTTCAAAGCAAAAACACGGGAAATTGATTAAAAATTCCTTTACAATGATTCAACCAAAGCCCTTAAGAAGAACATTATTTATATTTCCTTACAGACAAAGTTAATTCCTTCATCCAGTCTAGCCCTTACCATGACTTAACAAATTTTTATTGCATTGTTTAAAAAACATATTTCAAGTCTTCAGATGGCAAAAAATATTAAATAAGATACCGCATAAATATTAAAAATGTTGCAGTTGACATGTGGTAGGCGTTTGAATTTAATGTATGGACAGAAAAAATTAAACCGCCTTTGAACAATTAATCAAATAGTCTTGTGATTAGAAAAAACAAAGATATAGACCGTACCATGGCGAAAAAATGATATGGCAATAAGGGTTTCCTTTAATGATTTAGCGCTTTGATCAGAAATGAAAACGGGACGTAAAAATGCGGCATAATCCGTATTTTTAACATTCTTTGGTATTCTTTTAATTTCGATACGTATTCTTAAATTGGCTGTTCCGTTTATGGAATGTTTTTGGAGTAAATTACATCTAACAAAGCCGCTTTGATTATTTAATTGTACATCAAAGAATTCGATTGCATTGCAGTCAGTGCTTCTAGCGTTCCATATTACGTCATAGCTGCAGTAATTGATCGGGTAATTTATGATTGACAAGTAGCAACCCACTAAAGGTGCGTGTTGTTTATTGTAATATTCCTGGTAAGAACAAGTTGATGAAAGAATATCTAAAGTCATTAAATCTGATAGACGAAATGTTAGCTCGTGTGATAAGTAATTATTTTCAGACTAACTAAGACGTCAGATAAAGTCAAATCAAAACCACAAAAAGATTCCAAACTTTGAAGCAGCCGACCTTCTGCGCATGCGTACAGCAGCACTTTTCATTTTTTAATATACAGACACAGTATTGCGAAATGGCGCGAAAGAAAAGCTTCTCTGATACTTCTAAAGAGTTTTTGTTTCACTTTCTCTCTAGTGCAAACTGTACAATACAGAAACAATTAATATACTGTATGTTTTGGTATTTAAATAGAACGGGTAATATCAACTTTAAACTGTTCATTGATTTATTCACTTTTTCGTAATACTGTCCTGGATTTGAACTAGATTACTCCTTTTTTCCAAACAAAAATTACAGGAAACATGATAGTGCACGGAAGTTTCATGTGCCGTCACGGGTCCTTCATTTTATATCGTGAGTGATTCCTGGAACCGAAGTCTGGTGTATGTACCTCATTTAAACTTCGATATTTTACAACGTGGTGTTCACCTAAAGCTCTTTAGATAAGAAACACTTTAAAAGTTGACACTTAATCTTGTCCTTTAACCTTACACCATCAAGTCAAATACTTAAAAACCGATTATATTGATAACTTGTGCATAAAATAATTGATACGAAACTTTTTCCAAAAACATCAAAGTTTTGTATGCTTCCGATTTTCTGCTTCAAGAAAACAATTTTCTGTAAAATTGTCAAATATTATGTGACAATATGTAAATCGACGCGTATTAATTTGTCTCAAAACAATATAGGTACAAAAAAGCCGGCAGTTTGCTAATATTTATAAGCAACTAGGCTAATTAAAGGATTAAATGAACATGAAATTCACATTTTTCGGAGGAGAGCTTCTGCTCAGAGAATTAAAGCTTCCCCCCGATAAATCGTGAAAAAATGTAGGAAATGCAAAACGATGATAACTGAGCGGTATGTTTCTACATGAAAATCCCATGTTTAATGTACCGTCTTCCCAGTAGGGGAATGGCTGGGTTACCAAAGCCTAACGATATTACTTGTGAATACAGATAGAACTGAATTAGCTCAATTTCACGAGTAACTTGTCGACCGGCAATTTTAGTATCTGCTCCTAATTATGACTGTAGAGTCTGGGAGATCCGTCTTTAAGGTGTGTTCATACCTTCTCATTGAAGAAATAAACAGTAGTATTGCCATTTTGTTTACAAAGTACAGGAACTTTTCTTACGTGCTTTTTTTATTCGTTGGAATTTCGTTTTGTTACCATTGTTGTTTTGTTTTTTTTTTCAGTTTTTTCTTTCTTGTTTATAACGCGGAGAGTTGTACAGTTAAGCAATAAAAATATTTCTAAAGCTTTTTGCTTTTGTTGTTTTTGTCGTTTTCTGTTGTTGTTGTTGTTGTTGTTGTTGTTGTTGCTTATTTTTGTTGTTATTACTGTTGTGTTTTGTTGTTGTTGTTGTTGTTGATGATGATGTTTTTTTTTGTTTTTGTTTTTATTACTAATGTTTTTTTTTTTTTTTTTTTTATTTATCTATTTATTTATTTATTTATTTATCTATCTATTTCTTTGGTGGGGGTGGGGGGGGGGTCTTCAAATTTATTTTTTGTTGTAACAATAACTTTTATTAATCATTGCTTTTATTCAGGGTTTTAAATATTGCTTTGGAATAGTTTTTTTTGTTATTATCGTGTTTGAGTTTTTTTTTATTTTATTTATGATTGTTTAATGTTTTATATAATTATTTCGTAAAAGTGGTAATTAATGATGTACAAAATTTAAATTTGGATATCAATTAAACATTCTTACAAGTACATTTATCACATGATGTTGCTTATTTTCAATGCAATATTACCGCGGCGTACTTCTTTATACAAATATACCATTCAAACAGTGATTTTGCAGTTTTTCGGCGTTTTCTGACCCTGTTATATCGTGTGATAAATCTGAAAATTTGCATTCGTCATCTTTTTATATACAGTACAATGTCAATATCAAACTCCTCACAGTGATTACCTCCCTTGGCAGAATCTCTGTACTGATAAAGGGAGATCACTGCGTAGGAGATTGTGTCAATATAAGCGTTCCCAGAACTGTTATACAGCTCGCCACCTAGATGCTGTATAGCACTTTCTAGACTCGTTTAACATATATGTATAAGAAATGAAAACTTATGGAAGCTTTTCTACAATACAGATGAATATTTATTTATTTTTAAAAAAAAAACCTACTTTTGAGCTAAAATAAAAAAATAACGTGTAAATAAGACCACTGATTTATTTAGTAGCCTCTAAGAAATATAGATAAGTCATGGTAATTAGGCACTGGCAATCATTCGGCTATCTATTAGCTTTAACCTCATGCATTGTTTACAATCATAACTCAGCTCTAAACCTAAAAGCAGTGTAAGTAATTAGCCTTTGCCACAAATATAGCGCCTGTCTATTCTAATCTTGCTGTTTTGTCCAAAGCAGAATGCGCATGCGCAAAATATTACTTCCGTTTCTAAGGAAATATCGTATTGTAAAAAAATGTCTTTACTGTCGGAAGTTCAATTTTTGTATTTTTATATTGAACTTATAAAATTTAAATGAACTGTCCCAAATTCAAGACAAGGAAGGTTAAGGGGTAATTGTTTGAAAAAACATCTAGTGTAGCTGTAAATTACAAGATGTGTTGTTATTTTCTTACACTTTTTAATGCAAGCTGCTTGATTTGTTTTACTGACAGTGTTTTAACAAAGAGTATTGATAAAAAGTATGTCTGATTTTTTGTATGAAAACATGACGTATGTTATATTTGTCTAAAAAATGACATGTTCATTAACATATTTTCGCTCAATTAAAATTTTTCAATTTGCTTACATCGAAATATTTTATTTTTATACTTCCTTGAAACATTCTTTTTTATAATTGCGAATGGTTAAACAAATTAAAAACAGGTTTTAAAAATGATTTTTTATTTATTATCCACATATGTTCATCCATCAAGCACTATGTTTAAACGGTGTTCGCATATGTGTTTAGATTCGGTATTATAAAATATAAAACAAAACACCTGGTATAGATCGACTGCGATAACTTCACCGCAAATTTGATTAGAACAAAACGTTAGAACGAATATCAAATATATATATCACATATAGTATAACCAACAACCAATTAGAAATCAATGTTACTATCACATGATCAATAATCTATCACAAACAATTATCAGAACATTTCGTGCCTATTTATAGAACTTTGGCAGGTGTCGATTGCCAAGTTATCGTCGGATATCTATAGGAAAGAAAATCTATTTTGATTTTCGCTCAAGATGTCCCAGTACCTTAAACAATCTGTTTGAACTAAAGACTGTTTACCTGATCATTTATTGTAAATAAGTTCTACGGTAACTTAAGTTAGTGATGCGATGGTAAGCACGATGGACTCGCTCGTACTAGTGAAACGAGAGCAAATTTGAATGGTTAACGTTTTTGAAATTAACACAAGGGTTAAAGAGAAGCAAAGCGTTCGCTTGATTGTTAACTGATTTTTTTTCAAACTAGGGATCCTTGATAATAGCTGCCAGCATATTTTTAAGTAGTTTTTCATTAACATTTGCACGGATTTATGGCGATTTTAACAATTTAGGGTTTAAAGGTTAACCCTTATTTTATCATTTTTTAATTTTAGTACTTCGATTGAGCGAACATTTTACAATGCATTTTATAGATAGTTTTCGATTCAATGGAGTTTAAGCAGATAAGATGATAGAAAGATAAATTTGATTTTGGGCGTACTTTTAATGTAAATTCGATTACACGTGTTTGATTGTGATTTTGATTAATATTAGTTCACACGACACCGTCTTAAAAATGTAAAAAAAAGTTGCATAACTCGGGCTAATTTATAATCAGTGCGTTTGATGAGATGTGATTGGGAGAAAATGCATGGATGTATAAAAATGGAATTGGAAAGATTTACCTCAGTGTGTACAAAGAAATGAACCATGGATTGACGTTCCACTACGACTCATTCATTCGTAGACTAGGAAAAAAAAACGTACTTATATAAATAAAGGAAGATCACTGGGAAAGTATCAAACACTATTGATCAGATGACGATCACGGGAATTATTGTATTTAGTAAGAGTTTGGATTATTTAAGTGACATAATGATGCTTGATCAGACTTAAGCGTATGGTCGCAGTAAATTACCGTAGGTTATCCGAGACAATGAATGAGGCGTCTTTACTCTGCTGTTTGTTGTTAGTAATAGTGTTAATGATGACAAAATGCAATGCTAGGAGTAAACTCTCTCTCTGGATAGACGAGGGACAAGTGCAAACAATTACAAAAAATGTTGCAGGTATGGGGATTTATTTTCAAACATATTATTTGTCTTTTCTTATATTCTAAAATTTTATTTTTTTATCTTTATTTTTGTTTCAATATTCCTCTTGGATATTTTTTTTTCATTTTTAAAATGTTTGAAAAATAATTTTTATATCGTCATAGCATACTATTCACTAAAGGGATGTTGAAAAGTAAGGTCAAAAACAAAATTGCTATTTTAAGAGCTACATCACACCCTTTTGTTAAGTTTTGATATGAACTATTTATATTAAAAAAGTAATAGTAACTTTTACTTCTTTTAGATTTATTTTAAAAAAAACATTTGTAACTCAATGTGTTAAATAAAAATAAAAATGAAATATTAAAACATATTATTAAAATAAAAAAATAAAAACACTTTTAAATAATCCATTTTAGTATGATAGTAAACGGTTTAACTGTATGTTCGCATTTCTTATATAAGATAAGTTTAGATCTTATGTCAGAAAGGTTTCTTCTTATAAATTATTTCATTTATCTTTTTTCTTTTTCAATTATTTTATTGATGTATAGCAAGTTTGATCTCTTACGTGACAAAAGAAGACCTGTTCACATTAACATTTAAGTGAAACAAAACAGATTTTTTATCATAATTTGTTAACAATTACATCTTATCATACATATGTATATACATGTATATATCGATTAGCCATATGCATTGTTTTGTAAGGTATTATCTAATCAAATGCACACATATTTTTCTACTCACACTGAAAAAGTCACGTCATTCCCCCAATAAAAACCTTTCGCAATATTTTTTTCTCATTTGTTTATACCGTTTATTCAAAATATTTTTGTTTCAACAAATTTGTTCAAAGTGATGTTCTGAACTGAACTCTATCGAGCTCAATTCATCCTAAACTGTTTCTGCATTATCAATGTAAATATAGATAGAAAAGAGTAGATTAAAATCGGAACTGCCTAAATAATGTGTAAAGAGCGTCTAAAATTAGAAAAACCTGCGTTATCTTTGGAACGTATTTTTTACGTTTAAAACGATTGTTTTATCTCGCTTGCCAGGTACGCTCACTAGTAACAATTCAATTGTACTTTTTTATCGAAAATTAATTAAAATAATGCACTTAGTTTCTGAACCATCTGTTGTTGTGAGTTTACGTGTCTGAATTTCAAAATCCAATACCGTTCGCATATTTACGTACGTTATATATTTATGAATATTTTTAATGTCCGCGGAGTTAAAGGTAGATAAAAAAAATGGCAGCTATATTCCTCGAGGATTACAATGCCAAACTAAGATAAGGCTTAAACATTTATCTGGGTTTCATACCGGTTCAAATCTATTAAGTTTTCAGGCGCATCTTTTTCACAATAATTGAGGAAAAGTTCTAATGCACGCTTGCAGAACATCAATTTTTGATAGTGACAGGAAATGCTTAAAAAAAACTATGATCTCGCGGGATTTTGGGTGATTTGAGGATGTATTATGTTAAAAGGTGTACGTAAGTCGCAATTGAGTGGATAACATTAGTTTGTTTGTTTGTTGTTTTTTTTCGTAATAATTTACATAATTGCCTTTAAATGCGCAAAGTACTATACTCCCGATTTACTCATTTTAAAACGTCTTATTTACTGAATGAGTAAACATTTTTACATGAGTTTTTTTAAGGTTAACAGTATGTTAAATATATCCCTCCCAAACCTTTAAAAAAATAAAAAATATGATAATCCAAAGGCCTACTTGTCCCGAGAGATAAAAAAAACAAAACCTTTTAATAACATTGTAAAATTGTATCGATAAATAATGGATAAAATACGCGGTATCACCCTTTTATTGCAATACAAACGTGCAGTGCTGAGCATATTATGAAAATAACGAAAAAAGATTGTGTGTGTTTCATTATCGAAATTATTAAGATTTTATAAACAGAAACTGGGCTTATCAGACATGGAAGTAAGTGTGCAGACCTCTCATAGATTATTAATAACGTGATAACGAAAAGAATACAAGATCTAATGTTAGAGACGAATTTCTGATGTAAAGATATATGTTTTTTTCATTTATAAATTATTGCAATGGGATTACGCGTGTGAAATGGAAACAAAAGAGAGAGAAAAGAGAGGAAAACAGTATCATACCTATTGGTACATTTAGGTGACACTGTTTGGATTTCGTTCATATATATCTGTTAAATTTGCTTTAATACTTAGCCATTCCATTGAAGTATTTAAATACAGATTGTGCTATATGCCTAGTATTAGAATTAAAAAGTTGTACTTTTTCCTTGTTAAGTAACGTCATTTAAGTGTACAAATAAAGTTATTTTGTAGAATTAAATTTAAGTGTCAATTGAAAAATTAATACAAATTTCAAATTTATAAGGTATCTGTTTTCTTCTTCTTTTCTTTTTTTAAATTTATTTTATTTATTTGTGTGTGTTGTTGGGTTTTTTTAAATCGTAAATAAAGTTTGCTTCGTATGCACTTACTGAAGTAATGAACACTAGTTAGTGTGGCTATATAAAACGATGACATTTGTATATATCGTTTTCCTTTTACCACTTAAAATGAAATTGCGACTGAAAAATTTAAAATAATCTAAATATCTAAAAACAATGAATGGTTATCAATTTATCAATAAGTTATAAAACTTAATGTATTATGAATAAAACTGATACAATATTAAGCTGTGTGTACTTCACGGACTGCTACTTCGGTTTAATGTAAAAAAAAAGCAAATGGAACTACTTCTTTAGGAAAAGGATTGTCCACCGGAAGTGCAAGATGACTAAGCAGAATTAAAGACGCCATCAGAATGACCACAAGAACAAAGTGCAGGTGCATGATTTATGGAATTTCGAAAAGAAATAAATTCTTAAAACAGACACGAGTATCTAGTCACGCCCAAATCTAGGTTCGCCTAAAGACCTTATCTTTGCAATAAGCAAAAGGTGTGTGCAAGCACTCGGCAATGACATTAAATTCCTTTGCGCAAACAATGGTACCTACAGGTGTCATTTGTACATTTGTTAGCCAAGTCAAATTAACGCAAAGTTCGTTGATTTATCAAGAGAAATAACATTCTTTAATGCTACCTTTGCATTAGCCTTAAATTTACCTAAAAACTTAGGTCATAAATGCATTAAACAACATTATTTTATATTTATTTCCATACTTTTAATGATCATCAACAGCGATTAGTTCTCATTTTGAGAACAGTTTTTTGTATTGCAAAAGCCTAATGATGATGTTGTTATTAACTCGCTGAAATTAAGCGTTCCTGACAACTTTTTGGAAACATCAATCTACTGTTATGTTTCCAACGAAAAAAAAAAAAGACGAATAAAAAAATCTCTTCTTCTTTGGCTTCATCTCATTTACCAAAATGTATTTTTAATAACTTCCGTAAATAATAGTTCGATGTATAAAAAACGCCGTAAATTATCTTTTACTACAGTAAATAGAAGAGTGCGCCATCATTTACATAAACATACGGTTTATCTGTAAATTATCATTGAAACACGGAGTTATATCAGAGACTTCTCCAAGCCTATCTGTACTACACAATGTTAGTTTCAACCGTGGTAAACTGTTGATTATATTTTATCTTGCACAAGTGGTAAGTTTTTTGTACCTGTTGAATAATTTACGGGATGAAACGCGGAAAGCCTCGTTTATTTATTTGTGTGTTCATCTTTTTTGTTAAGTGTGTTGAAACATTGCGTCAAAATTGGTTTGGCATTATGATGTAACATTGTACTGTATAATAACGGCAAGTGACGGAAAATTGTTCGTTTAAAAACGTATAGAATGAACAAATATGATGATATCTTTCCCGAAGAAAACAAAAAACTGAAATAATACTCTACGAGCAATGTTTAAAAAAATTTTACATAAATTATGTAAGATATAGAAATACATAATTTACTAAAAGCATGGTACTTTTGCTCAGAAAAAAATATTAGATATGTTACAAAATAAGAATAATCAGTATGAAAGAAATGAAGAAATAGTACGGATAAAATTGATGATTTAGTACCATTTCTTATAACAAATTGTGTCCCGTCATGAAATTATCCAAACTAACTAGTATGTATAAATATCTCTATAATATTTGTCATTCCTTCTGTAATACAAAAAACAATGCCTACAATTATTTGTATGTTTTCTATTTAATTGAAATCACGCACATATGGATTTTATTGATGTTTTCAAGTTTAGTCATACGATTTCGCAGGACAACATATTTTGACCATCAAACTACCAGTCATTTGCTTTGGCCTTCGATTAATATAGTCTGGCAGTAGGAGATCTTTTATGTGCACTTCCAGGTTAGTGAATAGACAGCGGACTCCCGCGGGAAACTACTTTTGGCGATGGCTTGAATGTGTGACAGCTTCAATATTGCCAGAGTGACATTTATAGAATGGTATATATCCCCCAAAGGGGTTTGGCGATTGACCTATTGGCAATGCAGTCGGTTGAGTATCTGTGTTGGAGAGTTGACTCAAAAACATTGATAACTTTGTTTATTGACGTCACTACATTTGGATTCTTCCGACAAGGATTCTTACATGTGATATTTCTTAACATTTATATTGGACAAATTAATTCAAAAGAAGACTGAGAGGAACAGTAAAAAAAATTACACATATTTCTGTATAAAGAAAATAAGATTTCGTTTGAACATTAAAGTTAACATTCATGCAAAGTACACCTTTTTTAACTTCAGTTCCTAATGTAAAAAATTGTTTCATCTTTTTAATCTTGGACGACTTGTATGCAATGACAAACACATGCACAGGTACTGCTGTTTATAAAAGCATACCGCAAATTCTCGTTATACAAACAGGTCACAAAAAATGGGTCTCGTAATAAAACAGTTTCTTCTGGTGATAGCGATAGTGAAAAAAAGAAACACATAATAATAATTTGTTGACAGAAAACAGGGAAAATAACATAATTGTTAATATTTTATTGTGATAAGTAAGACATGATTTTATGTTACCAATTTCATGGTATTCATACACTTTGATATGACATCACCCATGCAACACGATTTATCCCAGTAATCGTTTAAGCCTTACATCATTTTTTTTTCTCTAATTTAATAATATATTTTTTTTTATTCTAATCTAAGAAATTACGAATTTTATGCAAGGTTTAAGATATGATTTCAAACGAGAAGTTATTTTATGAGAGTGTGGTGTTTCGTGTGATAGAATGCAAGTTTAATTGCAATGGTTTGCATTGTTGCAATACCTTAATATGCTCATAGTTTTTTTGTTGTTGTTTTTTTTATGTATTGTGGCTTGGCGCTTTCTGTCCGCTCTTGAAATCAATTTGTGTTTAGGGACCGATAAGTAGTACAAAAGTTCCAATCACCTAATAGTAAAATAAAAGTCAATGCCGTCTATTAAGAAAAAAATATAAGCAGAAGAAAAGGCATAGGTTCCATCTTGGCAGTAAAGCCATCCGTTTGTCGGTTGAATTGACTTTTCCTGATGTCACTTTTGGAATAATTAAATGTTTACATACTCTTATAATAACAAAACACTTGTATGGTTCGATTTAGTTAAAGTTACTGATTATGTATCCTAAAAGGTATACTTGCACACTATATATTTGTAAAACTATTGAAGCCTTTAAATAGTCAATATTATGAAATCTTTCTATGATACACCATTTATAAAAATGTCACCACAACACTCTTACGAATCTGTAGGTCTTATATGGCGAAAGAGTCAACAAAAATGCTTTGTCAAAGTAACAAAGCGTAAATAGGCATTGTAAAATTTCAATAACGAATAATTTTCCCAAACAAATAATGCTGTTCCATTCCAAAGCAGTTGCCCGGCATTGATAACTCAAGATGACTCTTTCCTTTCATGCAATCGCAAAGCTATTTATTATATTTTGAAACAACTGACAGCCTGTAAAGAGAGAGAAAAAAAATAGGATAAGTAAAACCTGATAAAATGTAACAATGTTCGTGGCATTCGAGAACTGAAATCTTGCATCACCCATGAAACACGATTGATATCACCTATCAGTTAAACCTTCCATTTTTATAATCTTATAATTTATTGTCTTAAAGATTTCTTTCTGAACAATAACTATGTAAAAATGAATGTTTTGCGAGATAAACGATATGTCATATTTATTGAATAGTATCACGAAATGCATACTTGAATCTGTTACGATAACGAAGATGTCATGCAGAAAAATAACAATTACATAAAAAGTGGCTTAGTATATAAACTATTTTGGCAAGAGATCTTATATTAAGATATAAAAGCAGTGACTGAATAGAAAGAGAGAAAAAAAGAACCACATATTAATGGGTTTTTTTTAGATGATAATATTAATAAAACGCCAATACTTAATTTATAAAGCGTGCGCAATTAAAAACGGTTGTAAATAAAAAGCGGGAAATTGCGAAATAAAACTTACAAAAACCTTTGTAAATAAGATGATATTTCTGAAACATTGCACGGTTTGGATTGCCAAAATCTACTCAAAAGATATCAATAAGTAAGGAAAATTAGTACAAATGTAACCAAATTCAAGCATTTTGTTCGCCATATAAATATTCAAAATGCAATTTTGTATATGCAGTTTAAATCAGTTTGTGAATAGATATAATTATATCAGTAAAACGAATTGTTCCCTATATCTCTTTGTATACAAATTATCTTGATATCGTTTTAATTCGTTACATAAGTTTCGAATATGTTATTAGTCAATTTGATTTCATATTTGAACAGAATTCAGAATCCTTTGTAAATTGTGCGGCTACAAAAATTATAAATTGATAATTGTCAAATGTTTGATCCCTTATTGATTGTATTTTGGACCGGCGGCTTTTCATTGCAAATGAAATGATATTGTATTGTATTGTGTTGTGTTGTGCTTTGTTGTGTTGTCTTGTGTTGCCTTGTGTTGTGTTGTACTGTATTGTATTTTATTGTATTGTATTGTATTAATGTATTACTGTATCATTTACTTATTTATTATATTTGTGTACAAACCATATTTTTATTACAAGATAAACATTTTTTCTAATCTTCATATGCAAGGAACGCTACATCATGCAGGCCTGCTTGACTACAGTGAAGGGTAGAGTAAATATGAAACATCAATATCTTATTTTGTTATCAAAATATATTAAAATATCTTTAAAATCTTATTCGTTTTACATTTTGTATATATTTCAGGGCTTCCTATGCACTTATACATCATACACGAAGGAATTTTAGTGTATTATATGAATGACGTGGATTTAATATCAAACCTACCTATCTTAGAATCAGACATTGATACTGTGAATCTAACTTGGGAAGCGGGAGATGAACAGGTAAGACTGGTTCTTAGTATTTTTGGCTAGATAATTTGGTATTTTAATTGAATAATGGAACCTTAACAGTCGTCTGCTTATGAATGAATTGTTTTGTTTGGGGTATTTAGCCTAGATTATATACACACACATACACATGAATTGTTTATACTATAAAATTATCATGGGTTTTGGTTTATTTCTAAGAAAGAAAATGAATCTCCTCTTCATATTTCTGTCCAATCAAAAATCATTTCGAACGCTGACGTCAAATATGACGTCATTTACGAGTACAAGTTACGTAAACAATGTCGACACATAATGACATAATAACCATTATCAGCGTGGAAAGTTTTTCATCTTGCATCATTATATTTATGGTGTTCTTAAAAATCCAAAAGCTTAAACCTCAGAAAGGGTTAAAGTCAAAGCATTATAAGTATGTCTATAATTATATAGTGGTTTGGACAAAGTTTTTATATCACAATTTGATATGGTTGCTACTAAAACAATCTGCCTTCATTTTTTTTAATATTTCTGCTGAATAAATGTTTAGATCTTACAAGTGCTCTCAAGTTTGGATGAAGTTTATTGATTTATAAACACCGATAAAAGAAAAAGTTTAAAGGCGAGACGTCAATCAGATACTTATTATTGACTTGTCAAAGATTATTGAGGCATACCCCCTCCCCCGGCAAAAGAAACTATGGCCAAATGAAACCGTAATTACATGAAACTGTGACCAAATGTAACTGTGACCAAATAAACTGTTTCTACCTGAAATTGTAACCAAATGGCGTTGTGATAAAACAAAAATGTGACTGAATGAAACTGTAACTACACGACACTGTAACCAAAAGAAATTGTGATAAAGCAAAAATGTGACCAAATGAAACTGTGACAAAACGAAACTGTGACCATGAGTTTAAATGCAAAGATAACTGACAGAGGAATGAGATTACATAAATATTTCAAATGCAATGTGTACCTAAAGCAAACAAAGTGGTCTTTCTTTATCAAGCTTATCTTCCTTGAAGTTAATTATATGCTGAAGCATTAACAAAATCAGAGATAAATTCTATATTCAAATTGTTTTAACAACAAACATAATTATCTCCTTGAAAAGAACTCGGAAGAAATTCTAAGCTATAGCTCGAAATTAGAAACTAAGTTCACAAATTCCACTTTGACATTGAATTAAGAAAAGTTGTTTTTTATTGAAAGGCGTTTGTTATTTATAGGGAAAGCAATATTGTGTTTTATTGTTTTTGCAATTTCTTTTTGAATTATTCGTGGCATTAAAACTTGAAATTTATATAGAAAATTAATCATAGATCATCTATTTGTTTGATATATATTTTCCTCCAAGAAAATGAAAATGAAATGCATATCCCAAGTGTCTGGTACTTAGACAGCTTGCTGTATACGCTTACAAGGAATATCAGTCAATCAACAGCACCTCTTATTGCGATCATCAGCTAAACGTGTTAATTACACGATTTATAGCACACTTTTAGAGATTGCCCATATTTCTAAGGTAATAGACTGAAAAAGCCGCTCATCTGTTTGGAAAGATTAGAAGCTCTCAGTGTTAAATGATTTATTCTTTTTTGTGAATTTTAGTGCCTGAGATCAGTCGATTAAAACGTATATTACATAGACTTTAATATATTTTATAAGTTGATGGTATCTTAGGTACAGAAAAATGTGGGGGGTGCGTACAAAGTATTGTTAAATCTAGGGAATATTTTAACTTTTTTTCTAAACACTCAAATAAGTTATTAATATATAATTATACTATATAGGTTATTTTTTCAATACTGGAAATTACTTTAGGAAAAACTTGAAGGTCACTTATAACAGAATTTAATTTTTCGAAAATTGAAAACGAATAGCAAAGGATTGTAAAGTGAAAAATTCTGAAGCAAATGAGTGCGATTAAAGTAGGCATAATAACTAAAATTTTATCATGATATTTTATTGGAAAATGTGACGATTTCCATATGCTTACATTTACATACATGTTTATGTACAGTTTATTTGATATTAAATTATATAAATCAAAGTTGACATAGTTATATAACAAAAACTTAGTCGTAAAAGCATTATTTTTGGTCTACAAAACAGACCGCAAAAAAATTTTTCATTTCCAAAATTCTTCCCCTAGACATACACTCGTTGTGAAATTAACAAAACCAATTTCACGGATAGAACTTTCGACTATAAGAAAAACAATACCTTTCGGTAAACAATGTTATATAGCCAAGTTAAAATAATAACAAGTATTAGCATTTCCAAAAATGCTAGGAATCGCCGTTCAGTCAGATATTCGGAAAAATATTTCTTGAAATAGATTCTTCCTAAAATATATATTTAGACCTTATGTTTCTTCTTTCTTCTTTTTAAGGAATATGACTTTTCATTATCTTATTACCAAATAGGAGCCTACAAACTTGTTTCGTGCTTCGAGCATGAAGAAAGTTTGTCAATTTTATATACGGGTAACCCGACAAATAACATGGCGGATGTTGTGACCCGAAGGCGCCCCTTTTTTAGTTTTTTTGTCGTCCATTTTGTTAAAAGCTTCATTTTGATTGACTTACGGCAGGCGGTGTACATGTAGAAATGGTCAAATCTTGTTAATAGTATATGTCGCCATCCAGTAACGGAACGGCGACAAAATGGAAGGTAATATTTTTGCAAATAAGTGTACAATTGAAAAATCTACAAGAAGAAATGACACTCACCTCAAAAGGGACATCATACAAGCATTAAAATGTTATGAATATGTTATAAATATCTATATATAAAATTTTAAAATATGTACGTAAAAACAAAACGATCTTATGTACAATTAACCCTGTAGGGCGCTGACATTAGATGAGCTATTACTTTAAACAGTCTACTACATCTATCAAATGTAATTTATAGCTCAAACAGTTCTCGCTTATCTACTATATATACTATTATTTCAACTAGGAATTGATATTTTGCAATATATCAAATCTAAACTATTAATAGCAGACGACAAGATAATCTTGTACCTAGTGGTTTCTATTAGTTTCAAAATGCAACATAACAGTAGGTAGTGTCTAGTTCTATTTATAGTTCTCTATGAAAATTAGAATGACTCAGCTTTTTATTTATAACAAAGTTCATTTTAATCTGATTGTATTCTAACATACATAAAATTATATGTTAAAGTAGATGTTTTCAGCATATCATTTTTGCTAATTGATCGTTCTTGGCTATTGTATGATGGAATTTGATACACAAAAAATCTATCCAAAAAAAAAACGCATTGTTATGTTTGCTATGTGGTATGAATACTTGAAAAAATGATGTCTTTTAAACAAATCTTCTGCAACACAACAAATCTTCTGCCACACTACTAATCAGCTGCAACACTACTAATCCTCTGCAACACCTAAAGTCTTGTGGAACTATTCAAATCTTCTGCAACACTACAAATCGTGTGCAACACTACAAATCGTGTGCAACACTACAAATCGTGTGCAACACTACAAATCTTCTGCAACACTACAAATCGTGTGCAACACTACAAATCGTGTGCAACACTACAAATCTTCTGCAACACTACAAATCGTGTGCAACACTACAAATCTTCTCTATATTGGCGGGATATCAATGGTATTTTCTATTAAAGTATTATGTAAAATATAAGAATAAAATTAAAAATAATAAATAATAAACTGCAATCAAAAAGAAATCGTCGAGGACATCAAAGTCGCAAGGATCCTTCAATGCCAAATATCATAAGTATACTTTCAAAACAAATCTTTTGACACAATGTTTTATGAGTATAACGATATTTACAAAATCCAAAGTTAATATTAGAGCAATAGAAATGAGCAAAGAATGGAAATTATCTGTAATATAAAAATGATTCCTTTTATAAATTTCCCGAAAAGAAAACAAATAAAAAAAAAACACAAAAAACAACTGATATACATATAATATGAACACATTCCAGCAATTATATCAAATTCTCACACAGCTCAAGTACAATTATTTTCTCACAGAAGCTTTGCAATGACTTTTTCAACTTTACTCGCGTAACAATAATCGACGTATTGATGCCAAGAGCAAGCAAAAAAATATATCTGCAAGTGCAAACCAAAGTAAAGTATAAGTATGTAATCTGCTGTAGGTATATCACTCTAATACTTCATGGTGCTCATCATCCATTATGCATTTTTCCTGCCACCGGATATTCGACATTGCATATGCAGCAACATTCTCATTATCAGTGGTGTTAATAGTAACACTTCAAAGAACGGATGCAGAACATCTCTCACGACTTAATGACTTAATCCATTAATCTTTTTCTTCTCTGTTTCTGAAATTATAAATCATTTTTTCGTAAATGACTTAATAAAAATGTTTACATAGATTTAATGATATCTTGTCGCCGGTATGATAACGAGTATCAAATTTAATACCAAAACAAATAAACATTTAGATTTGTTTTAAAGCTTAATGATTCATAGGATATTGTAGAAAATGCATTTTTTCCAAAAGAATATGACATATCCGGATGACGTTTTGATAGTAACAAAACAAGATAATCTTAATTTATTATAGAAGAATTTGCGGCTATTCTGGACGCCATTTTTGAATTCTAAGACCGCTCAGACATGGACCGTAAAATGGTTCACCGAGCCAGGGTCTTTCAAATATTTAAAAGACCCTGACCGAGCAAAGGACTGTAAAAAGGTTCAATCAAGACATGGACTTAAATCATGTTCAGCTAAGTCAAGGAGAATAAAAAATGTTCAACCAAGACATGGACCGTAAAATGATCAACCAGGACATAGAGTAAAAATGTCCAGCTAAGCCAAGAAGCGTAAAGTAGTTAAGCCAAGACAAAAAAATGTCCAGAAAAGACATGAACTGTAAAAAAATATTTAGCCAAGATGAAGATGGTAAATAATATTAAGCCAAGATATAAATGTTTAAAGACAAAGTGCATTGAAGCACCTGGTCTTTAACAGGTAACA